GGATGATGGATGGATGATGGATGGATGGATGGATGGATGGATGGATGGATGGATGATCAATGATGGATGATGATGAATGGATGATGGATGGATGAATGGATGGATGATGATGGACGAACGATGGATGTGCTTAGCACCAGGTACAACAGGCAGCAGTCTGTTTTCTCAGCGCTTCTGAAGGAACCATTCCTCTAGAACTTGTTTAACTACTAACATTTCTTCACTGGTGGATCAACTCTGCAGACTCACAGCGTTTCATTAATAACTGCCGTTTAACATTTAGTTCAATGAAGTATTTCCTGAACAACGTGTCTTAATTCTTTGTGCCTGTTTAGATAAATCCATTATAGAGACATAATAGTTTTGATTATAGATAGACATATATATTATATAGATTATAGATAAAGTATAGATAAATCGATTATAGACAGATATATATTATACAGATTATAGATAAATTATAGATAAATCGAATATAGATAGACAGATATGATATAGATTATAGATAGAATGACAGATGAAGGTGTGAACAGTGTGAGGAAGGAGAAAGTGCTGAACAGACTCTACTTCGATTCCACCTGACAAAACCTCTTCAACTCTTCATCACACACACACACACACACACACACACACACACACTGCCCCCCCGCTCCTCTTTAAGCCCCGCCCCCTCCAGGTTAATCACAGGTTGAGGTGCTTCACTTTGTATCTGATGGTTTCTGTCTGAACTCGCCTCAGCTCTCAACAGAAGCACACAGAAGTCAGTAACCTGCAGAGGACCAAGTACTCCCCTTCTCTACTGCAGTAAAAGTACTGGAACCAGTTACTGGAGTAACATTGCACAGTAGACCAAGTGATGATATTAAAATAAAAACATCAATAAATAGATTTTTAAAATACTTTATTAAAAACCAACTTTGAGGCCATTTTGTTAATAACACAGACACGTAGTTCCCGTCCTCCTCAACTCCCTGCAGCCCGCTCCACAAGTCCCTCCGACTGATGTACAGACTCCGCCCTCCCCTCCCCTCCCCTCCCCGCTCCCCTCTGGAGGTGTACAGGTGTAGTCATACCTGCTCCTGACGCTCCTCATCATGGTTCTTGGCAGGGATGCCGTCACCAGCCGCCGGCGCTCTGAAGAAGTCAGAGAAGTCCGGTTTCTGCGGCGCCGCCTCCACTTCCTCCTCTACTTCCTCCTCCTCCCCCCGAACGGCTTTCACACACCACCACCGGCCTGTCATTACCGGGCCTCGAGGTGAGGTCAACCACACCTGCCTCACCCTCCTCACCTGCCTCTCCCACGCACCTCCTCACCCCCCCTCCCCCTCAGTACCTGTGGGATTTGTCAGGTGGACTCACCTGTAGACACACACCTGTAGGCTGCAGGCAGGGCTGTGTGTGTGTGTGTGTGTGTGTGTGTATGTGTGTATGTGTGTGTTATGAGCACATCCCCACCTCCCTCCCTGACTCACCTTTATGCCCTGCCCCCTACTAAGCCTCAATTCTTCCTGTGCCTCCTTTTTATTGGTTGAAATAATCCACCACACACAGACACTTCCTGTCTGTCTGTCTGTATGTGTGTGTGTTGTGTGTGTGTGTGTCTGTGTGTGTGTGTCTTTGTGTGTGTGTGTGTGTGTGTCTGTGTGTGTGTGTTACTCCTGTTGTGGAGACATAAACCACATAGTCGGTCCTTTAGGACGAAGGAACACAAAGTGAATCATTAGATTTTTGTTTGAAGTCCTCAACACAAGTGAACGTAGAAGATAAGATGCAAGTATGAAACTTTATTGAAAATGATCATTTGTGAGTTAAAATCTGACCTGAACAGAAGTCGAACAGAGTTCAGCGTCAGACTGCAGCAGCTGTTCTTCCTGACACTACATGCACTGATACCTTTTCATTTTAAAACAGTCGACCTCAGTGCTAACAATATTTTCATCTCCATTTTCTCCAGAAAATTAAAACAAAAATCTGAATTTTACAAATATTTGCAGTTATTCTCACACTTTTTGCAGTACTTCTTTCTCTTCTTCACCTATTTATTAAGGCTTCCTGCCAGATTTTTTATTTTTTTTTGGCAGATTTTCTGTTTGCGATGTTGAATCAGGAGGCCTTAACACTGAATGTGAAAATGGCAGCGGGTTGTGTTTTAATCATAGTTAGTTTTTGGTCCAAGTGCAGGGAGCTGCAGGATGGAAAAGGTTAACTGAACCAAACATACCATCACTCAAAAATTGCAGCTAAATTCATAAATCACAAGCTTGCCTGTTGTTAAGTTCACCATCGTTAACACTCTGGCGCTCCTGATGCCCTCCATCCACCCCGACCTCCTCCTGCTGATGCAGTGTTTCCTTTATTCATCCATTCATTCAGACAGCTGAACATTCATTCATTCATCTTAACTGACGGCAGCAGCTCTGCGGTGAAGTTAAGAAGGTTTGTGTCGCTCTGCGATGCAGCTGCTGTTTGTTCCTGAACGTTTTCCAGCATCGTGGGAGGAAAATCCTGCTCGCGTCGAGCAGATTAGAGGATTGAAGCGAGTTGTGAGCTGATGAACTCCTGCAGGGCTTAAAGGTGGAGTTTTCTGACTAAAATATGGTTTTCATTAATCCTCCTCGAGACGCTGCGAGCTGCTGATCTGGATCTTCTCCAGGAGGTTCCACAGGATTAGTCTGTGGTCCAAACATCCGTCTGTCCTCCTCTTCAAGGTCCTTCCTCCCTGTCGATCCAATGCTCCTCCAGCCACCTTCTCCATTCCCTCCATCTCCTCCTCCTTCTGCAGGAGTGACAATGAAGGAGCGGTGTTGCTTTAATTCCTCACCTCCTTTCTATCATTTATCAATCCACCTCCTGATGGTGAATATCTTCTTCAAGGCAAAGTTGGCAGTGAGGAGACGGAGGAGGAGGAGGAGGAGGAGGAG